ATGAGATTGAAGATGAAGGCTGGCCTCCAGGAAGTCAGATGAGAGGGTGGCACTGAAAAAGGCGAGGCTGGGGGTAAGGCTGGAAATGGGAAGTTTGGGCAAAGATAAGTGGACAATGCTGTGAAGTGTTATTGAGTCAGTTTGGACTCGGCGACCCTGGAGCGGCTAGTGGGTTTGAACCACCGACCTTGTGGTTAGGAGTCCATACAATGCCACACCAGAACTCCAAGTGGTTAGTAGTCAGAGCAGTTCTAGTGAGGAGTCGTGAGTACTGGCTGTGATCTGGGGTGAGCTGCTTCATTGTTCCAGATCTCATGGGAAATGATGGAATGTTCTAGAGTTACTGTAAAGGTATTTACATACACACACACATAAACAACCTCAGTTCTGCTAAGAATGGAGCGAGACTCAAGGGGAATACATGAGCAGGCATGTGGTCTTGCTGGTGACCACGTTGGTCTACCGATAAGGGGCAGTGGGGAAAAAACAGCAATGAAGTTGTGAGCTAAGTCCGACCACATTCAATAGACTCCTGTCATCCTGGATTGAGACCTGGTTGGACACCAGTATAGCGAGACCTGGGGACTCCTGAGTTCAGGGATAGGGACATGGCCACAGAGGTCTAAAGTAGAGAGTGAAGCGTCCAGCTGATATGAAGTGAGGGGAGCTAACCCATACTTGCAGATAGTACTCTTTGACCTGCTTCAGTGGCTGGATGATCAGAACTCAACTAGAGGAAGAAAGTAGAGAGGGGAAAAGAATTGTTGTTAAGTGCCGTTGAGTGGGTTCCGACTCATAGCAATCCTGCATAAGGTTTCTAAGGAGCCGCTGGTGAGCTTGAACCATGGACCTTGCAGTTCAAACGGCTTTGCAGTCTGGCACATTAACCCATAGCGCCACACCAGGACTCTGCTACAATTGATGAACTTGACCCATACTTATGGATGTAATAGCTTAAAAGAGGGAACAAATCTTTACAGCAAGGGTCATTCACACCCCCTCAGCACATAGGGTTGACAGGAATGGGCAACTTAGACACTGGCTACCCAAAATGGGGCTAGGGGACCTACAAAGACATGAAATGACTGGCTTACAAGATTTTAAGAGGGAGCCTAGTTTCAGAGGATACAGGGAAAGGTAGAATTTCCACTGAATGGTTTTCAATCTGTCTGGACGGGGCTAGTGAAAGGAGATGGGGATAAGACTGTGGTTCAATAGTGAGTAATTGTTATCAGGACTGACCATGAGAGTTGCAAATGTAAAGGTAGACATTTTGTACCAAATAGAAGGGAATGGTTGATCTTTCAGCCCAGGAGTGGAGGACCCTGGGACCATATAGGGAGAAGAGTGGAGTATGGGACCCTATCCAGAGAAGCAGCGACACCAGAGATGGAGGCAGAGACGATGGCATGGAGAGATGGAGTGGCTGGGGACTCCAGACTCAGGGAGGGAGAGGGTATGTGTGTTGACAGCCAGGGGGCAGGCTTGTGGGGTGTGCCCTTTGGTTGTTTGGGTGGTTATATATTCCTGAGTGCTTTGGTGTACATCCCCCCACCCGCCCCACCTCCCAAAAAAACACAGAGGGAATGGAAGCAAATGCTGTTGAATGATGATGCATGGAGGGGATTGTAATCATTGCAATGAAATGACATACCATAGGATGAATGTAAAGCTGATGTTCTCCCATGTAAACTATCACTCAATTCATAGTAAAAACTTTTTTTAAAAAACCCCCAAACAAAAAAAAACTAATGCCTTGACAAAAATCAGAATGATAATTTGTTAGTTTACAAGAAATGTAACTTGGTCAACCAAGTTACAACCAAGCATGCTAATATGGCTCTCTCACCCTGTTATCCCCTGAGCCAGAGAGTTCACATTCTCGGTGACACCCATCTCTATGCCAGGAACTTGGGGTGCAAGCCCAGGCACTGAGAGGCATTGTGAAGCTGCAGGCATGAGACCTTCACTCAGTTCAGTTCCAAAGTCAGAAGGAGGCAAAAGACCAAGAATCTGGACTGGCAGGCCAGGCTGATGGACAGAGCTGGATAAAGGGCAGAGCTCCAAGAAGCTGAGCAATGTGGACCAACCATGACAACGTCAGGATGTCCTCAGAGTCTCGATCAGCCCTGGAAGGATAATGACAATGAAAAAAAAAAAAAAGAAGCCAGGGCCAAAGCCCTGAGTATGTCTGGACTACTTACTGTAAGGACCAAACTGACTTTACCTGATTTTGCCTACCTAGAGACTGCTTGACTTAACTCTAGTCAGGCTCAGGAAAACATTTTAAATAGACAAGGCCTCAGTTATTAGTTCCCTCCAGAGGCAAGGTCAATCTCCATTCTGTACATTAGCCTGAACACGTACTCTAGCTCCAAGAATATGATATATGTATAAATAGCCAGGCAGCTCAAGGCCAGAGGCCAGATGTTTTTCTTTACCCTAGCCTAAGAACAAAGACCACCAGTCCTGACCAATTAAACTGTAACATCTCATAGTTTGCCAATTGTTAACCAATCCAAAGATTGTAAAGCTGAGAAACCTGAGCTGTTTGAAAATTCTATAAAAACCCTGCAGACAATGAATTCGGGGCTCTTTCCCTATTCTGAAATGTCGGATAAGGTTAGAGACCTGGCTCGAGCTTGATTAAACAACCCTTATGTATTTGCATCGGTACACGGCTCCTGGGTGGTCTTTGGGGACCCTGAATTCTGGGCATAACATTACCAGGTTAGAGGAGCTCACCAGTAAGAGACTCTGGTCAGAGAGGAGTGGGCCACCAACAACTCCAAATGAACAATTTCCACATGCCAAGACCACTTCCACTTGAGTCTTCTGCCAGGATACCATAAACACTCAAGCTGAGAAACCACCTTGACCTATGTCGTTAAGGAATGTACCTGACCATTGTCTGGTTTTACCCTGATGATGCAGTTGTCTGTCATCAACTCAAAAAGCAGCTAGTTGAAATAAAGTCAAGAGGATTAGCAAGACATCTGTGGGCTTCAGTAACAAAATATTCTGAAGCCAAGCCAAAAGCTAGCTGAGCCAGCAGATCCCAGAGCTGGGGTCTGGCTGATGCATGGAGTCAAGAAGCAAACCCTACAAAGTAGATAAAGAGGAAACACTGAAAAATAAAAGATGAATCAAACATGGATCATACCTATAAGAAACCCCACAGCTTAGAGGGTAGAGGAGACAAACACAGGATTCCTATGTTGGAAGCTCAGTAACATGCTTTTAGGGGGTGGGGGTGGGGACTTAGCTTCCAAATTCAATGAAGTGGAGATGAGAAATGCGTTCTATGAAAATAGGTAGAGCGTTAAAGGGTTTGTGAAAGTGGTTGCTTCCGGTGGAGCTGGATAGAAGCGGCATGTTTGCTGGATTTAAAAATGGTGTCTAGGACGTGAACATGGGACATTTTAGCCAAAGGAATACAAACAGAGGCAAGAAGGTGAGAAATTTGGGAATTCTATGGGGAATACAAGAAGTTCTTCTGACCAGATTAGCAAACTGGTCCATGAGCCACACCTAGCCAATACCAGTTTTTTCTGGTCTGAAAGCTAAGAGTGGTTTTTATGTTTTTAAATCGTTGACCCCGGGGTTAGATAATGATTGTAGTTAGAAATATTGATGCAGGAGCAGCAAGGAGCCGTTGACGGATACTAGGTTATTTAACTTGAGAAAAGGTGTAGCAAAGCCTTAGAGGGTTTGTTCAGAGACGTCCTTCTCACCCTAACAGGGAGACCTGGGAATACGGAGTAGGGTGTGGTGCATTTCTGTCCATGCAAAGTTCTCAGACTGTGTCTGACCCTTGAATACAGCATCTTTACTGCTGGTGTCTATCGCCCTTTCAAACAGCCACACTGCATTTTAACTGCATCCCATTAAACCAGTTCAGGAGCATCAAGGTTCATCTGTCTCTGTCACTTTGAGCCTTTGTTGTTTGGGAGTCAAATCTGTATCAGTTTCCAGTCAAAACAGGCTTCAGAGGGGTACAGCAGGTCTTTTGGAAATGACCCTTCTCTGAAGTGGCCACCATTTCAGACACACCCTAATCACCCACCACCTCCTCCCCCGCCAAAGGCGCACACACACGGTCACTGCCTGAGTTCAGGGGCTGAGAAGGGCGGGGCTTGTCCATCACCACCACGGGTACACTCATTCACTTTCTCTCATTCAACAAACATTTATTAAAGTGCCTACAGTGTGCCAGGCACTGAGGGTACAGAGATGGAGACTACATAACCCTACCCTCAGGGGAGCTCACAGTCTAGGAGGAGGGGCAGGCATGTAAACAGGTAAATTACAATACGTTGTGTTGAATGTCATCAGAGAGGTGTAAACAAAGTGCTGGGGGGGGTGGCACAAAAGGGAGCAAGCAACTCTTCCTGGGAGGAGAGGGCAGGTGGGGTGTCAGAGAAGGCTTTATTTTGCAGTCAACACACAGTGCCTGGCCGTGCCTTGTGTGGTGCGCTGGCCCACACCCAACGGGGCAGGTCCTATCGCCCATACTTCTCTGGTGCTAGCAGAACCATGGCCCGACCCACCAAGAGCCCCCGGGACCAGTGGAAGAGAGGTCCACCTCTGTGTACTCAGGATGATGCCACCCAACTCTCTCCAGGGTATCCCCAGCTGCCAGGGCTAAAGGGATTGAGGGTAACTTCTCACCAAACAGCTGCAGGAAAGAAGTCAGCTGTGCAAGGGACCGGTCTTAGAGGAGTCTTGGTGGGGCTTAGAGCTAGAGGACCAACTCCCCGCTACCTCTTGGTACTCATTTGTGAAGCTACTTCCTTTCCAAACACTGCACAGGAGACCCCCAAGCCTGAGCTCTTATACCCTCCTTATGTTGGACCAGGTACCAGCCACTCTGTCCACAGGCCTCAATCCAGAGCTGGGGTGTCCCGGCCCTGGAAGGCACCCATACACAGACGCCCACTCCTGTTCACACAGGCCCCACATGGCAGGACCCCACAGCTGGACTGCTGAGCTCTCTGCACTCAGAGACGCCTCACCAGCTCAATGAGCTGTTGGATGTTTTTGTTTTGATTGGACAGACCATTCCTGATGTTTTCTAGCAGACATCTCTTCAATTCAAAAATGGCTTCACTGTACCCCAAGTTCACGGGAGCCATAGGGGGCACCCCATGCCACAGGCCAGGAATGTGCCAGACGTGCTGTTTCTCAGGGTCACCAAAGGCCACGTCAGCCAGTGTCCGCACACTGTCCCCTCGTGTTTCCCTGCAGGCGACAGCCAGGCCCCCATCACTCCGTGGCTCTGGGCACTGACGCCCATCTCTCAGCTGGGGACCGGGGACAGATGAGCCGTGAAGGTTCTGATACACAAACTGATAGCTGGGAGCATGGCCCGTGGTCTCCAGCCTCAGGAAGGCATGCAGGAGAGCCAGCGGAACAGCCCTTGTTTCTGCTAAGCTGACCACAGTGACGTTGCTCAGGCCCATAATGAGAGTAGCCAGGGAGGCCTCCAGCTCAAACCTCTCCCCCGCCGCGGTCAAGGCCCCACCAATCCACCCCCCTGAGTCTATCACTAGGATGTGGTCGCAGCCCAGGTCCTGGCTGAAACCCTCGGCCACTTCCACAAGCTGCATGAAGGCTCCTCGAGGGTTGCTGCTCTTCCCAGTGGCAAACCGCAGCCCAAACATGGTGTTCAGCAGCGTGGACTTGCCCGTACCAGGTACCCCCAGAGCCGACAAGACCACTAGGCGTGACCTCCTGTCCAGCCGGGTGTGCAGTTCCTTCAGCAGCCCCGTGATCCAATGCAGAGGGACACTTAGGCTGCCCCCATCCACTAACTCCAGGGGGAGCCCCCTGAAAAGCAGCTCCAAGGCCAGGCTTGGGAAGTGGGCAAACCGCCTCTGGCCTGTGGACAACTTGCCCGCTTCAACCAGGCAGCTTTCAGCTTCATAGAACTGGCCCATTTCCCGCAGGAAGTGTCCCACTCCCAAGGGATCAGGCCAGAGGGGCTCTGTGGGGTCCAGGGCCCCACAGTGCTTGGCCCTCAGGCTAAGCAGAGTCTCTGGAGGTGGCCTCAGCCTCTGCTGGGCCAGGCGCGCCAGGCCCAGCTCCATCCACTTCAGGAAGTACTGCTTCTCCCCGGGCGAGGGGCAGCTGATGCCCCTGACAAACTCCTGCAGCCCCCAGGCGGGGTCCAGGCTGTTTTGCTGAGCTCGCAGCTCCAGCAGCCGGCCCCTCAGCTCCGACCTGCTCTTGTCGGGCGGGTCTGCAGCCCACCGCAGCTGGCAGAGCTCCTTCTCCACCTGAGCCACCTTCCTCCAGGGCTCTCCTTGCAGCCGCAGCTCCTCTCTCTTGTAGGCCTCAGGGTCTCTGATCTTCCTGGTGATCTTCTCCATGCGCTCTTTGGCCTTCTGACACTCCTCACAGTCCTCATCGACTCTGAGGCCCAGCTTGCGGGCCGCATTGGCCATGTCTTCCACTGACACCCTCCTGCAGGGAGACCTCACCACGCAGCGCACGATGGACCGCAGCCTCCGTACAAAGCTCTCGCTGTCTGTGCTGCTGACCTTCACGAGGACATGTGAGTAGTCGATTTTTAGCACAGGGATTAATTTATTCAGGAATCGAAGGTTTGTGTTCCGCTTGCCCCGGTAGGGGCTCAGGATAAAATAGTATTTCGTGTTTGACTCCTTCATAGAGAACAGCAGTTTGTACTCCTTCTTACTGATGTTGTCAGTCATTATGAACACGGCAGAGGAGATGTCTGCCAACAGCTTAAACTGGAGCCAATGAGACCCAATGTCACCTCTCAGGTTTAGGAAGGCCACAGGCTCTGGGAAAATGTCCACATCCTCCCTGCCGCTTGGGAAAAACCAGGAGACTTCCACAAGCCCATCTGCGATTTCCCGGGGACTGGCACCCAAGTTCAGGTCTCGGTGCCAAAAGCAATCCCGTGGTCTATGGCCCGGGCTGAGGATAGCATTGAGAAGCTGCGACTTGGAGTTGCTGCTCACCTCCATGCGCACAAAGGCAAAAGTCGGCATCCTGGGGAGGGTCACGCTGTCCTCTCTGAAGTTCCCCGGCCCCCTCAGGGGCTGCGACCACCATGTCCTCACGAGGCCCCTCAGGGCCCACAGCAGGAACATGTGGTAGTGGTTTTCCGAGTCGGGCAACACAAGGGGGAGTGCAAACTGGCAGAGGAACATTTTCAACAGGATGTCCTGTTGTAGGAAGCTGTCTGAGGACAGCAGAAGGGCACAGAGGAGGTCCAGAGGGTTCACAGGTGTGTCCGGGGTGGGCAGCTCCGAGAAGGAGTAGATGTCGGCAGCGACGTCGTCAGTCATGTCCCAGTAAAGGACCTCCTCCTCCATCTGGCTCTCCTTCTCCCCAGGCCGGGCGTCTGGGGGTGCATCCAGCACCATGGTGGTGTTTCTGGCCTCGGCGTTGAGGGCCTGCAGCTTTCTTAGGAAATTCCAAGGCAAATCTTTGGGTACCTGAGGAGCCCAGTTCTTCATGCTATCAAAACTGATCTGCAGAGAGTCTTGGAGGCTGAGTTTCTGGGTCTGGTATGTCTCTAGTCCCAGAAGGGACAGCATTTCTTGCAGCCGGCTTCTCTCCACTGTAGAAAGAAGTGAATATGTAAGTGCCCACACTGAACCCCCATATCAGCAAAGAGCTGATAACCAGCCCAAGAGGGGGGCTCCCACAGCCTCAGCTCAGGAAGAAACGCAGAGGAGGGAGACTGCTCTGGACCCTGACAATGGAGGTAAAACAGGTCCAGCCCAAGTGCCACGCCCAACCGGAGATACCATGGCATCACAAACAGAAAGAAGAAAGAGGAAGCTGTTGGCCATGCTTGAGAACTGGGAGATTTCATATAAAAATCTGATTTCTGGTTTCTCTTGGAAAACAGAGCGTCAATTGAACTGGCTTGTAAAAGCAGCAGATTCCAGTGTATGGGGTATGAAGCCTCATCTCGCAGGCCCCACCTCGCTCCCTCTGGTATCTTCCTAAGTCTAACAGTGGCTCCCAGCAGTGAGCACCCCACAAGCTATCACCACAACTTCAGGTTTACTGCATGATTTCCTAGTTGACATTCATTTCCCTTTTATAAATAAATTGGAGGTTTATAAAAGAAAACTGAAAAGGAAGACACTACTAGGCCTGTGGTTGGGTGCAGAGTCAATTCTGACTCATTCAATTAGTAACCCGATAAGACAGAGGAGAATGGCCCAAAGGGTTTCCTAGACTAAAATCCTTATGGGAACTAATGGCCAGGTAGGTCTTAACTCCTATGGAGCCACTGATGGGTTCACACTGTCAACCTTTTGGTGAGCAACCAGCGCTTAACAATTGTGCCACAAGGGTTCCTTTTTACTAGATACAGATGATCAGAAATCACCACTAAGCCACTATTTTACAAATCTGACACCGATAACATAGTTTTAAATTTTTACTGTATTACAATTTTTGGTGCAGACTGTCAATAAGTCTGCATTGATTTGTGTAGATCATCAACTAGCACCCAATACAACAAAAAACCTTACAGCTGCTAAGTGCTTGGGACAGTCATGTTACTTCCAAGGGTGTCATTCCATCATTCTCATTTCCCTCCCTCTCTCAGTTCCTTACCAGTTTTCATAGTGCAGAGAATGGGTACACTTTAAATGTGGTGGTAGTGACGATTGTGTGCCATGGAGTCGGTTCTGACTCATAGCGACCCAGTACAGGGTTTCTGAGACTATAAATCTTGGCAGGAGCAGAAAGCTTCATCTTTCTCCTGCAGAATGGCTGGTAGTTTCGAACTGCTGACGTTGAGGTTAGCAACTCGACTCATAAACACTATGCTACAAGAGCTCCTGACACTTTAAAAATGTAAGTAAGTACACAAAATAAAGAACTACAAGTTGCTTTGAGTCTCAGGCTTTTCTCCAGCAAGGAAGCCACATCGTGACCTGCCGCCTTAGATCTCACGAGAGGCCACGAGCATAAATAAGCACAAGGAAATCCACCTACTGCTGATGTCTTCCAAGGAGGTCAAGTTGTGGACTAAGTGACCAACAGGACTCACCACACTGGGACATGTGTATCACATTAGCTGGGCCCCCATTTACTGTCTAATGTCTCTTTTCTTGGACTCAGCTCTCCCCAAGGGACTTAGAGAGTTCCCAAGGCAGCGTGGCTGTAGTCCTACCCCTAGAGAAAGCAGGGCACTGGTAAGCGTTGTGCGAAAACCACAAGGAACTGTGTGGAAAGAGTCAGATTGCAGCAGAAATTCACACAGGTGCTGCTCAGCGTGTTGAGTTTTGCCTGAATGAAACCAGAAACATTGGTTTCTTATCCAGGCACAAAACAACTGTCCTTACTTTTCAGTCGAGAGCAATGGGACAAAGCTAGAGCAAACAAAACCTATTCACATATGTACTCATGCCCCGTGTGTGAGTCTGGCCAAGGCGATGGGCAATTCGGGGCCAAGGGCTTCTGATCTGCAAATGTCGCCATTGGGTCAGATGGCTACAAACTTGGTTGTGCATTAGAATCACTTTGGGAACTTGTAACTATGGGACCCTAAGAAAAAAACCTCCATTTTCTACCTAGGCTAAAGCACGTCCCCCTGTCTCAGGAATGTGCCTGGTCAGTTAGTACCAGACGGAGATGACCCCCTTCCTGTACGAGCCATAAAAGTAGAGATAAACTCTCCTGACAAACCCAAGGCTAGATAATATATGTCTTCCTTACCCTAATTAAACTGTCCTAGCATAACAAACATCCTCCTTATCCTAATGAAGCTATTCTAGCTATAGGTAGTGGCCAACCGAATTGTGTAATCCCGTACCTTACCAAGTGTAAACCAATCCTAGAGAAGTTAGGTAGAAGACCCCCGAATCTGTTTGTAAAAATCTATAAAAACCCCACTAACAGGGAGCTTGGGGCTCTTGCCCTAATCTGCTGCGTCGGATGTGGTTAGAGACCTGGCTCGAGCTTGAATAAACAACCCTTATGTATTTACATCGGTGACGGCTCCTGGGTGGTCATTGGGGACCCCGAACTCTGGGCATAACATAACGAATAAAAACTTCCTTGCCTGCATCTCTAAAGATGCTAATCTACAATGCCAGGCAGGGCCCAGTTATTCTACACTGTTAACAAATTCCCAAAGACTTTTATTTCAGATCCAGTATTGTTAATGATACAGAGAGGGTTCATAGACAAGGGCATCTTCGATCTGAGTGACCTAGCTGTCCTGCCTTCCCAGGTGATTCCAATCAACCCCACCAGCCTAGATAATAGAACCTGACGCTAAAACAGAGATGAAAACAATGGAATGAGAAAGAAAATGCCATACCTGTCAGGAAGTCATTGTCCTGAGTTTCATTGGAACCATCTATGGCAAGAGCAAAGGAAAAACAAAGTATCAATTGAATAATATGGATTTGTTTGACAAAAAGTAAGTTGTGCTATACTCAGAACCCTCCCTCTTTCTTACTAAGAAGCAACTTCCTACAATTGTTCAAAATACAAAATTTTACTTCTTTCTTTTTCACTTTATTCACTCCCTCTCTTCCCCTCACCCAATCTGTATTTAAATCCTGTAGTTTCTACCTCCATAATGAAACTCACCATCATCTCCCTCCATTTCTCTCCATTCCAAATCTGGAAGGAAAACAAAAAACAAACACACAAAAAGGCATACATATTTAGTTTCATTAACAAATTAGAACCTTCCCATCCCCCCCCCAAAAAAAAAGGGCTGGGGATTAAAAATAATAATAATAGTGCTATTATTGGCTTCAATTTTTTTCTATGTAATGCTTATTTTCCCCCAAAATAGGATATAAAGTAACAACAACTATATACAATATAATTATTTGCTCTAAGGTATACTCAGCTGCTAACAACAACAACAACAAATCAGCAATTCAAACGCACCAGCCACTACACAGGGACAAAGCTGTGGCAGTCTCTCTGGGTCAAGATTTACAGCCTTTGAAACCCTACGGGGCATTTCTACTCTGTGCTCTACGGTTACTAAGAATCAGAATTAGTGGGTTTTGGGTATATTTAAATAATTTACAAAATTTTGAGAAAATAAAATATACATAACTGGACAAAACTGAAATAATCTTTGATTTTAGAAATGTTTAAAACATAAGCTGGTAATAAATTTCTCGGCTTGATTTCAACCACCTCTTATGAACACAAGTAGGGGAAGAATTGTGATTTACAAATAAACTGTTAATTGTCAAAAGTCTCTAATATCCTATGTCCATCATCATTAATACTAATATTTTAATTACAGAATGTATGGTCGTGATGTGCCATGACATCGGTCCCGACTCATAGTGACCCTGCATAGGATTTCCAAGGCTGTAAATCTTTTACGGGAGCAGAAAGCTTCATCTTTCTCCCGCAGAACGGCTGGTAGTTTCGAACTGCTGACCTTGAGGTTAGCAGCCCGACTCGTAACCACAATGCTACTAGAGCTCCTGAATGTATAAAACAAAAAAACCCCAAACTCACTGCCATCAAGATACTGACTGATGGCACTCCAGTGCTTATAAAACCGCACCACCAGGCTCCTTCAGAATATCACATTGTTATTAGTGCCATTCAATCAGTTCTGACCCATAGCAACCCTGTATAGGGTTTCTGAGGAGCAGCTGGTGGTTTTGAACTGCTGACCTTTGAGTTAGCTAGCAGTCCAGTACTTATCCTTCCACACCAGGGCTCCACAGAATCTATGTTGCTGTTGTTGTTAAGTGCTGTTAAGTCGGTTCCAACCTATAGCGACCCTGTATAGGGTTTCCAAGGAGCAGTTGGTGAACTTGAACCACCAGCCTTGCAGTTCAAACCAACTTTGCAGTCCAGCGCATTAACCCACAGCGCCACACCAGGAGTCCATAGAATCTTGAGTCTATTTAAATACTTAACATTGGATGGAGAGCGGAAGACCTCAGAAACCCTATATACTTACTTACAAATCCACAATATAAATGATAAAACAAGTGGCTAAGACAGTAGGAGCAAGGCTTCTCTGTATATCTGTTTTCATTGTTTGACTTTTGACCTGAGTAAAAGAATTACCCATTCGAAAAGTTTGTAATTCAAGAAAGCATTCTAAAATTTTAAACAGCATTAAATATATATTTTAAAAAATAAGAAAGATAATAGATAGATGGCTTAACTCTACAGCTTGAGGAACTAGATGAAGAAGAGTAGACTAAGGCTATAAGAGATAAAATAATAATAAAGATCCGAGTAAAAATAAATGAAATGGAAACCAGGAAAACAGTAGAGTGAATCAACAAATCTAGAAGGTGATTCTCAGAATAGACCCAAAAAACTGACAAACTACTTGCTAGGCAGACAAAGAAACAAAGAGAGAAGCTACAAATAGCCCAATAAGAGATGAGAGTGGACACTTCACAATTGACCTGACTGAAGGAAAAGGGATTAGAATAGAATACCATGAATGAGTATACCACAACAAAACTGGTAACTTTGGTGAAATGGACAAGTTTTCCATATCCCTTGTGCAACCAGAAGAGACCTGACAAGACATTCTCATGACATACTTGCAGTTGAAGATTGTATTACTTCACTTTTACCAATGGCATGAACAGGTACAGATACGAAAAGTAATTTTCATTAGTGATTACCAGGAATGGGGTGAGTAGAGGAGGTTCACTCTCTAGATAGTTGTTAAGTGCCGTGGAATCAGTTCCAACCCATAGCAACCCTGTATATAGGGTTTCTGAGGAGCAGCTGGTGAGCTTGAACCGCCAATCTTGCTGTTCAAGCGGCTTTGCAGTCTGGCGCAGTAACCCACAGCGCCACACCAGGACTCTACATAGTAGACATGTGTTAATTTGTGATGGTAAAGATAATACCAAATGCTGGTGAAGTGCAAACAGTTTGGTGAAGGTAAATGATGTACTAAAAAGTAAACAAGAAAATGGGACTTCTTCACCATTGCTTTACCGTACATAATTTTAAAACAACAGCAAAAACAACCGAAAACATGTGTGTGAGTATATATGTCTATATAACAGCCCTGGTGGTACTGTGGGTAAAGCATCTGAGCTGCTAACCAAAAGGTCAGAACTCACCAGCTGCTCCATGAAAGAAAGATGAAGCAAACTGTCTCTAAAAACCTACAGGGTTGTTAGGAGTTGGGATCGAGCTGATGGTAGGAGGTTAGCTTTGCATTTTATATGTATGTTTGTAAGCAAATTATTTGGAGCGCTGGTGTGGCGCTGTGGGATAAAGCACTGGACGATAAGGCTGGTTTGAACCACAAGGTGGTGGTTCAAACTCACCAGCCACTCCTTGGAAACCCCACATAGGGTCTTTATGAGTCATTTGGCATTAACAACAGGCATATTATTTGACTTTGTCTTCTCAAGCTGCCCTTTGAAATGTTCGGTTCAGCTCTTGTACCTCCTCATTTCTTCCATTTGCTTTAGCATCTCTGCGCTGGAGAGCAAGTTTCAGAGTCTCTTCTGACATCCATTTAGGTCTCTGTCTCCATTCTTGCCCTTTTGCTTTCTTCCTGTATGATGTTCTTCATGCTATCCTACAGCTCTTTGGTCTTCAGTCATTAATGTCTAATACATCAAAACTGCTCTTGAGATGATTTCTAAATTCAGGTGAGATATATTCAAGGTCATATTTTGGCTCTCTTGAGTTTGTTTTAATTTTCTTCAGCTTCAGCCTGAACTTGCATATGATCAATTGGTGGTCTGTTCCACAGTCTGGCCCTGGCCTTGTTTTGGCTGACGATATGGAATTTTTCCACCGTCTCTTCCCACAGATACAATCAGTTTGATTTTTGGGTATTCCATCTGGTGAGGTCCATGTTATAGTTGTCTTTTATGTTATTTTAAAAAGGTATTTCCTTTGCAAGGAAAAAATCATTGGTCTTACAAAATTATATCATGTGATCTCCAGCATCGTTTCTATCACCAAGGCTGTATTTCCAACTATTGATCATTCCTCTTTGCATTCCAAATAATCAGTAATTATCAATACATCTTGATTGCATGCTTGTTCAAATTCAGAATGAAGAAGGTGGGAAATTTCTTCAACTTCACCACCACTAGTTTTAGTGGTTGATGTATAAACCTGAATAACAGTTGTATTAACTGGTCTTGTTGAAGGCACACGGATATTATCACAGATAGTGTTGTACTGCAAGACAGATCTTGAAATGTTCTTTTTCATGATGAATGTGACTCCATTCCTCTTCAATTTGTCATTCCCGACTTAGGAAACCATGTGGTTGTCCAGTTCAAAATGGCCAATACTAGTCCACTTCAGCTTGGTAATGCCTAGGAGGTAAAAGATCTGAATAGAAAATTTCAAAGGACAGCTAGAGAAGACAAAGTCAAATATTATAATGATATGTACAACAGTCCAGAGTTAGAAAACCAAAAAGGAAGAACATGCTCAGCATTTCTTAAGCTGAAAGAACTTAAGAAAAATATCAAGCCTTGACTTGAAATACTGAAGGATTCTATGGGCAGAATATTTGAATGATGCAAAAAGCATCAAAAGAAGATAGAAGGAATACACAGAGCCATTGTACCAAAAAGAAATGGTTGATGTTCAATCCTTTCAAGATGTAGCATATGATCAAGAGCCAATAAAACTGAAGGAAGAAGTCCAAGGTGCATTGAAGGCATTGGCAAAGAACAAGTCTCCGAAAATTGGTGGAATACAAATTTAAATCTTTCAACAAACTGATATGGCACTGGAGGCACTCACTCATCTATACCAAGAAATTTGGAAGACAGCTACCTGGCCAACTGATTGGAAGAGATCCATATTTGTACCCACTTGAAAGAAAGGTGACCCAACGGAATGCAGAAATCGTCAGACAGTATCTTTAATATCATATGCAAGTAAAATTTTGCTAAAGCTAATTCAAAAATGATTGCAAAAGGACATTAACAGGGAACTGCCAGAAGTTCAAGCTGGATTCAGATGAGGATGTGGAACGAGGGCTATCATTGATGACATCAGATGGATCTTGGCTAAAAGCAGAGAATGCCATAAAGATGTTTACCTGTGCTTTGACTAAGCAAAGGCTTTTGACTGTGTGGATTGTGACAAGCTATGGCAACATTGCAGAGAGTAAGCAGTATGGAACACTTAATTGTGCATGTGTGGACACTGTATATAGATCAAGAGGCAGTTGTTGCAACAAAACAAGGGAACACTGAATGGCTTAAAATTAGGAAAGATGTGCGCCAGGGTTGTATTCTTTCACCATACTGATCCAATTTGTATGCTGAGCAAGTATTTTGAGAATCTCGATTGTGTGAAGAAAAAACGTGACATCAGGATTTGAGTAAGACTTGTTAACAACCTGCGATATGTAAATGACATAACCTTGCTTGCTGAAAGCAGAGAGGACTTAAAATACTCACTGAAGATCAAAGACCACAGCTTTTGGTATAGGTTTCACCTCAATGTAAAGCAAACAAAAATTCTCACCACAGGACCAATAAACAACATCATGATAAATCATGAAAAGATTGAAATTGTGAAAGAGTTTATTTTCTATGATTACCCATCAACACTCATCATAGAAGCAGCAGTCAAGAATTCAAACAACGTATTCTATTATTGCAAATCTGCTGCATAAGACC